TAATGAGTTTTATAAGCCTTATTTTAATTTTTTTTTGTACTGGGGGTTGAATCCAAAGCTGCTTAACCACTGAACCCCATTCCAAGCTATTGAGATATTTTATTTAGAGACAAGGTCTTACTAAGTTGCTTAGGGCCTCGCTAAGTTGCTGATGCTGGCTTTAAATTTGCGATCTTCCTGCTTCAGCCTTCTGAGCCACTGGGAATACAGGCGAGGGCCTACACACATAGCTGTATAAGCCTTATTTTTAAAACAATATTCTGATTTTTCTACTTTTTTCCCTCAGAGTTACCTTATACTTAACATTCTTACAATTTTCAACATCCATATTAAGTTTTAGACCCATCACTATATGTAGTACTCTCATAAAATTTCAACCCAACATGAAGAATTTCAAAATTATTCTTATACTACTAGTATTCTGGAATTATTTAATGAACCAACAACAAATAATAAAAAACTACTCCGGCAAGATTTCTTATATCATGTAGTAGTTAGAGCTACTTATTGTCCTGGTTGTAGATGTGTAAGAAATTACCAAGTAAAAGATTCTATAGGATAAATATGTATGTGTGTGTATAGTTTTCCTTTTTTAAGCTGGTTTAAAGCATTTCATGCAAAATTCATTCTTTTAAATTTGAGTTTTAGATTCTTTAGTTTCTTACCAGAGTTACTTTGAGTGTTCTTAACAAATATCTAAGAAGTTGTGGCTCAGTGGTAGAATGCTCCCCTAGCACACAGACACTGGGTTCAATCCTCAGCACCACACAAAAATAAAGATATTATGTCCACCTACAACTAAAAAATATATATTATAAAAATACTGTAGTCACTATTAAATAAGACCTCAATTTTGTATTGTCTTATATGTATTTTCTAGTAAACATTACTACATAAAGACCAACTTTCATTGAAATAGTATTTACCTCAAAATTTGTCTTTTCATTATTATATTGTGGTTATAAATATAAGACCTAGGAGTGTTTATGTGTTACAGGAAAAAGAGCTTTGAAGTTAAATAATTTTTCATGTGCTGGATTATTTGGGGTTACATGGGTTTCTTTACTAGAAAACTTTTTAGAAAATAATATAAGTGGGCATTTTAACTATTTTACAATAAGATGTAACAGTGTTTGCAAAACTAATTTAAATATGAAATACTTATTTCTCAAATTGTTCTATAGAACACAATGTGAGAAACACTGGTATTTGATCCAATTAGTAGTTGTGCTAATTATTGTAAAAAAAAAGTAGAGTGTTTCACCTTGACTTATGAGTGCCATCCAGTTTATTCGTAAAGGGGTTAACCTTAACAGTTGGATACTAGAGACAATCAGCTTCAAATGCGTTTGAGATATTTTTAATTTGGGTATACTTTCTCTAGTACTTCTACAGCTTTCTCTAAATGAAATGTATTGATGTGTACTATTGAAATATATTTTTAAAAGACTGATCATAAGACCTCCTRAGTCCCCTGGTTTTTTCACTACAAGTTTGAGCTCTAAATGAATGTTTAAATTCCTGACTCAGCACTCTACATGAAAGCTCTGTAGGCATCTGAATTCTGTCAGACCTGTGCTTTGCTCTTCCTTTCCCTTCCCCCTTCTCACACTTTAATTTCTGTTTCCTATCTTGTCTTTTAGCACTGTTGTCATTCTTTTTAGTCACCCCACACCCCAGAGAATCAAATTCCTCTTGCATCTCATACATCAGGACTTCCTAGCCTTGGCATCGTTTACATTTTATGCTGGATAATTCTTTTTTTGTGGAGAATTGTCCTGTGCTTTGTAGATATTTAGCAACATCCTCAGCTGCTACCCACTAGATGCCAGCAGTATCTCCCTCAGTTGTGACAATTGCAGTGTCTCTATAGACACTGTGAAATGTCTCCTGAGGGACAAATCACCTCAGTTTAAGAAGTTCTGTTCTATATCCAATCTGTCAATTTATTGTTATTGCTTCCTAAATCTATCTTTAATCCTTTCTCATGTCTTCACCCTACTCTCTAACCTCCTATCCTCTCTTTAATACTTGAGATGGTTTAGTAAGGTTCTGACTGTGACCAGTGCTGTTTTTCTCCAAACCACCTCCTTCATTCAATTTATCTTTACAAAATGTAAAACTATCCTGTTTATAATTTCCATTGCTTCCAGTGGAAATCCTTAGAAACTTGCTTCTTTCTAGCCTCATTTTTCAAAGGCATTGATTGTTCTTGCTACAGGTATCGTGCGCCTTTTGCCACAGTTTGTCTCCTTATGTATCAGTTTCTTCATCATAGCCCTTAGTCACTTATTTTCAGAGAATCTATTATAGTGAAGAGCATTTTACTTTTATTTTTTAATTAGCATTTTACTTTAACTTTTACCTATTTTCCCTCACCAAATTTTAACTTTTTGAGGATAGAGGCCATCTTCATCCCAGTTTTTTGTTTTATTTATTTATTTATTTATTTGGTAATACTGGGGATCAAACCTAGGTGCTGACAAGGTAAATGCTCTACCACTAAACTACATCCCCAGCTGCCATCCCAGTTCTTGGCACAGTAGATATTCAATAAGTGTGGATCATTTACTAGTTAGTATGCCCTGTCAGATGCAATATATTCTCATTACTTCTAGGAATTATGTTCTCTATATTAGTAGTGATAATTATTCCTCAAGTCTTTATCTTTCAGACTTMAGTAGGTCAGCTTTTGATCACAGAAATCTTGAACTATAATTTTCTTTAAGAAACCATCTATTCATAAGATAATTGAAGAAAGTCATGTACTTAATTTTCAAATGTCATGCTTATAACTAGTTAAAAAAATTTATTCTGAAAGGAATTCTGTGGATTAACTAAATTGGGTGAATTAATGATGTGAAGAGTCTTTACTAGACGAAAAACATTGCATTTCCATTGGATTTGTTGATTGTTCATAGAAAGCTTGCAAAAGCAATTATTTTAACAGCTAATTTAGTTTTTTAGAAAATGTCAATCAGAACACATTTGTGTAATTACCATTCTGAACTACTTAGAAATCTAACTCCCCCATCAAATGAAAACAACAAAAAATTATCAAGTTAATAAAGAAATTGTCTGTCACTCCTGCCCCTTCCTTAAATGCTTTCATAGAGTTGTGTGTGATTATATTTCCCTGAGTTGGAGCTAGCAACAATCAGTCTGATCAACTACACTTTTACCTGGAACTGTGAAAAGTGAAAAAAAGAAAAATAGGGATTCTGAGGCTTTTGGAAGATAACCCAAGTTTTAGCATCAGCCTCACTGCAAATCAGGGATTGRTGGGGAAAAGGGAATGAATCTGCCTGGCTAGATAGTTAATAATTACTTATTAAATGAATCCATATATAATAGTATATAAACAAGAAGGGAAGACTCTGCTTCTTTTTTTTTTTTTTTTAGGGAGTGGCACAAAAATTGCTTTCAAAAGAAATTCTTTAATAAGAAGGTTTTCAGAAACAAAACTGGGAAAAAGCTAGGTTACCTATGGGGAAAATACCTCCCTTTATTAAAAATACACTGCCTTCTCAGGGCCACCGTAGAGAATGGGAGTCATATGATGGTAGCCCATCATTATTAACCTGAGGAGTTGCCAAGGACCCAGATTTGCTTTGACTATTTTTCTGATTTATCTCCTTTTTTTTTACATTAATATTTTTTAATATTTTAAAGTAAAATTTATGAATTAACTTAATATTAAACATTATTAGTTAAAATTTTCTTTAGGATTTTGAACTGCTTCAGAAAAGAAAGGTATGTAGTAAAATGAAAGACATGTAAATCATTCAAACTGGGGGAAAAAAGACAACAATAACAACCTGAAAAATGTTGTTTCCAAAAAAGTTTTTACTCAGAATTTGAAAAATTTTGTATTGTAATGGCTCTGTTATATATGAATCATTTTATGCTTGTTTTCTATAATGTAACAATTTTTTAATATTCTGAATTTGTATTTTATTAGTTTTGGTTTTTAAATTGGAATTTTTGAAATCTCTTACATATTCTTAAGGCTCTACTTGGTTTAAGAAAATGATATTTGTGGTTTTGAGCAATCCCCCCCATTCTTCAATAAAGTATGTAAATGTATAGCGCATAAACTATGTAAACTTTCTCAGTAAGTTAATTACCTGTTGTAAGTATAAATAATGTAGTTTTAAGTGAGTAAAAACTGGTAATCTCATAAGTGTCAAATATAAGGTACTTTATTTTAACAGAGTACAGTCCATTCTTATTATTCATAGTTAGTTACGATCTATAAAGGTGTCAGGAACACTGAATGGTCCAGCCAATACTGGACCATTACTTATGTAGAAAATACAGTGTCATGTTCCTGCAAGCCTCTTGTCATAGCATTTTTGTTAATCAGCACAGAACTTTTCATTTTGTGTATTTCTTATGAGACACCTCATTTAATGTGTATTATTGCTGCATTAACATTGAACTCAKGGCCAACAGCACTATTAATTCTTGCCTGAATGAAGTTTATCTAACACATATTTTTCTCCATAAGGTACATTGTAGCCTTCTTGCACCCAGGACCAGAAAGCATTTAGGAACTCTTCAGCACTATGCTGAGGGGCCATTTTAAACTGAAAGCACCAACAGTGAGCATAAAAATTCCAAAAAATGTGCTAAACAGATTGCAAAAGGGACACTTGTTATGTAGTATGAGTGCCGAAACAAGAAAGTAGAAATATCATCTTGTTCCACTTTAGAGGAAACATGCATATCAGGACACTCAGGTTTTTCCACTGTTTTGGGATCTCAGTGAAAGACTGAAAGAATGMCACAAGTCTTAATTTTGGAGTTACAGTAGTAGAGTTTAGTGTGTAGGTGAATTCATGTATATACAATCTCTGAATAAGATGGACTATAATGGGCGGGGCGGTATGTGGGTGTTGTGTTGACTAAACAAAGTCACCTTACAGTTTTCATGTTTTCTCATCCTGTGGAGTAAAACTGGCTGCTTTCAGTTTGTCGTTTTCTTTTSTGTTATGCAGGGAACAACCTATCTTCAGCACTCGAGCTCATGTCTTCCAGATTGACCCAAACACAAAGAAGAACTGGGTACCCACCAGCAAGCACGCAGTTACTGTGTCTTATTTTTATGACAGCACAAGAAATGTGTATAGGATAATCAGTTTAGATGGCTCAAAGGTAAGTTACTCTAAATAATCTTGCTGTTTTGCTTTATATAGCATAGCATTTCGGTTTTATTCAGATTTTATCTTCATTCAAATATTTCTTTTTGAATTTTCAGAACTTTAAAGAAACAAAACTGATCATTCTTAGGGTAGCTACTTTTTTGTTGTTGTTCACTACATTGCTTGAATTAACCATGTGATGTTGAATTATATGCCACAAATATTCTACAAATTTAAGATCATTCATTCATTTTATTTAATATTCATTGCATATCTCTTTTGTGTCAGGCACTATGCCAGGCAGTGTGAGTAGAATGAACATGATTGAGAATTCTAGGATCTAGAATTTTTTTCATATGTACTTTCATATTAATTTTTTTTATTACTACAACAAAATACCTGACACATGCTTCTTATGAAGAAAGAGGCTTATTTAGCTCACAGTTTTGAAGGCTGAAAGTCCAAATAGCATAGTTCAGGCTTGATAAGTGCTACCCCTTATTTGCAGTGCTGCTTGGCGATAGCTATGATGGGAATGCACTGGAGAGCAAGTGATTACATCTTGAACCAGGAGCAGAGAGAGATGAGTGGGGCCACGCTAGCATAAGAGCACAACCCCAGTGACCTGAGGACCTTCCACTAGGCCCCATCCTTGAAGGTTGATTAGAACCTCCTTCTAGTCTATGAACTTTTGGAAGAACACAAACCATACCCAAATCATGGTGACTTCTTTAGACTAGTAGGCAGTTAAAAAAAATCCCTGAACCATATGAAGTCTGTCAATAACAATACTAAAACTGACAGTCCTTATCTAAAGACAAGTATATGAACAGAATTTTAAGGTTTTATATTTAGGAGAGGCCAACAGTAACATATAAGAACAAGGACAGGTTGGGTTCAACTTTCACTTCCACCAATTATTGAATATTTTGACTTTGAATAAATTATTTCAGACACCTAATATTTGCAAAATGCCTAATGCCTGGTAGACAGTGTACCCTTCAAAGGGAGGAAAATCTATTTTATCATCAGTGAAATTTTATCCAACTGACTTAGATAAAGAAAATCCAATCATCAAATTGTGGATGTAAAGTGTGTGGAAAGATGAAATTCATTCTCTCCYTCAGGCTTCCTTGAAACCATGGTGGCTTTGTGAGTCCCCAGAATTTTTAGCAAATCACTGTAGGAGTTAAGAGCACAGACTCTAGAGCCAGCACAGACTCTAGAGCCATACTGTTTTTGCTAGTCGTGTGACCTTTCACAAGGTGTTTAACTTCTGTGTGCCTCAGTTTTCTCATCAGTGATAAGGAACTAATAAAAACACCTAGATTAGCATTGTTGTGAGGAGGAAATAAATTTAAACCAAAACACAATGTGTGTTTAGTAATCACTCTAAATACTTTTAAACTAGATTATAGGACCTCAGGGGCTATTWGCAATTTGTGTCTTGTACATAAGTAACATATTTACTTGAATAATTGGTCCTCTTTTCATTTTTACTTGGAGGATTGAAAGGACTTGAGGAAATAGTAATAGTTAATTTCTGTGAGGTGTTATTTAACGAAGAGTTATTTTGCATACTTTGTAATTGGTTTAATGAAATGCAAGAGGTAATGAATGTTATTGTCTCAGGGTTTAGAGTGTGTATTTCTTTTTTAAAAAATATTTTTAGCTGTAGATGAACACAATACCTTTATTTTATTTACTTTTTTTTTTTATGTTATACTGAGGTTCGAAATCAGTGCCTCACATGTGCTTGGCAAGCACTCTACCACTGAGCTATAATCCCAGCCTGGAGTGTTTCTTTTATCTGACTTGTACTTTCAATTTCTGTAATATCTTGTCTCTTGACCCAAACCACAGAAATTTTATTAGATTAGGAGGGTTAAATGGTACGCAAAAATGAAGGTCAACTGATGTAGTTCATGTCCATGGAAGTGATTAAATAGATTTCAGTTGCTCACCTTATCCAAGTTAAAATGCTTTGAGTTATTCTCAAGGAAGAATAACTCAAGGTGATTAAAAAAATCCTCATGTGTTCTTCCCTCTGAAGCAATGTGAATTATCCTTTTTAGTGTTTCCAGTTCTGAATATGCTTTGCTGCTTATAATTATTAGACTCAACTTTTTGAAAGAGTTTTTTTATTGTTAATTCAACAAAACTAATCTTCTGAGCAGTTATATTTTCTATCACATTTTCCATTCTCTAGCTACTTTTCTAAACTGATGCTGTTAATTACAGCCATTCTTACAGGAGGAGTTGTTTCTTGATGAGCACTAGTAGTTAACTTGACTAATGAGTTATTGTCCCCTTCTCTCTCTCTCACCTCCTTTTCTGTTCTTCCTGATTAAGGTAAAAAGCCTGTAGGTRTCCCTGAGTAGAAAATGTCATTTATTCTTGTTCCTGTACTGTGCATAAAAAGTTTGCTTTGAGGTTTTCTGATCATGCTGCAGAGACATTGCATGGCTGAGAGCCAAGATTGGGGCACTACATGATCTATAATGACACAGCATTTCTACCTCCTTCCCTTAAAAGGAGAAGAACTCCAGGGTTGAGAGACTTATTTATTTTAAAGCACTAAGTTTTTTTCTTTTAAAGGATTAATAGTAGCATTCTAATTAAAGAATCTAAGAATTAAATTTTTTAATTATGGAATTATCTGTTGTTTTAAAGTTTCTCTTCAGTGATTAAAGAACATGTAGTACAGAGGCAGGGAAAGGTTCAGTGGAGATTAAAGTGAAACTTTAACAAAGCAGAAAAAAATTAATATGAAATAGTTATAATGGGATTCAGTGACCAACAGCTCAGTTTTCTTAGATACCTGTAAAGCCTTTTGCTACTCCCACTTTTTGAGTGTTGTTAAGGTCACATGTAAAATGTAAAAATGTCCTTATTTCCTTGAAAATACTCCCAGTTCAAATGTTCTCCAGAGAACACTGAAGGCCCACCAAATACAAATCAATGCCTGCCGTCTGTGTCTGCTTGCCCGCACTCTCCATTACATCCTGGTTTCACAGCTCTAAGCACTCTCTGAAATTATATTATTAGCTATTTATTTACTTATGCATTGACTGACTCCTCTTATTATAGAATGACATTCATAATTGCCTTTCATATTATTGTTTCTCAGATTTCTAGATAAATCTATCTAGAGTGTAACTCAAGAAAAAATGTTGACTAAATGATCCCTTACCGATTGTTTATAAATTTTTTCCCTTTAATTTTTCATTTTATGACAGCTCCACAAGTTAGAATAGTTGTTTGCCACATTTTTACAGTTCTAAAATATGCTGACAGAAGCCATTTTGAACTGAAAAGTAAGGTAGCTTATATTAGTGTGAATATATAAATTTTTTCTGGGGACAAGCGTTCTCATATAATAACAATAAAACATCTACTGACTGAGAAAAGGGAAGGGGCAAATTTCTGTTTTATCATGTTTAATAAGGCAGTTATCCATGTATTATACATTGTTATAATGACATGGATGCCTGCATGACATAACTCATAAATATTTTAGGTTTATGCCGTTGTTCACATGTTAAACAAATTTAGCTTTGTTCTGAAAATGTTTGATTTTCTTCCTACTTTTTAATGGTTAATCAGATGGTTGCTTATGAATTTGATAATGTATCTTTTTTTTTKKGGGGGGGKTACCAGGGATTAAACTCTGGGGCACTCGACCACTGAGCCACATCTTTTATTTTTGTATTTTATTTAGAGACAGGGTCTCATTGAATTGCTTAGTGCCTCACCATTGCTGAGGCTGGCTTTGAACTTGGGATCCTCCTGTCTCAGCCTCCCGAGCATGCACCATCACGCCTGGCTTTGATAATATATCTTTTTACTATTATTGGAGTCATATTTTAATCTTTATTTTGGAGGTCAGTAGACTATCCAACTAAAAATAATTGTCTTTCTAATACTGACCAAAAAGCATGAATTAATATAATTGTTAAATTATGATCACCAAAATTAGTATTTAATAACATGATAAAATGTTAGTTTTTTAAGAAACAGTTAAAAGAGAATGATATTGTCATGACTCTATACTCTTCTATGAGAAAAGAAGTAAAGTTTGTTTGTTTATTGCCTTGAGTAAAGGAAAAACTACTCAATAATTGAAAGTTTCAGGTAAATCAGCTTTGAGAAACCCTTGATTATGGATTTTAGAAAAATAAGCATTATTTTTTTCTTCTGTATTTTCTTTTCCTTTTTTGGTATGTGTGTTTGAATCCAAGGGTACTTAATCATTGAGCCACATCCTCAGTCCTTTTTATTTTTTTATTTGGAAACAGGGTCTTACTAAACTGCTTAGGGCCTTGATAAGTTGCTGAAGATCATCTTGAACTTGTAATCTTTCTGCTGCAGTCTCCTGAATCGCTGGGATTTTAGGCATGCATCACTGCCTGGGCTTTTTTTTATCGGTATATTCATTTTTGGAAGATTTTTTTATAGAGTGGSACCTTCCTTTTAAATATTTAACTATTATGTCTAAAGGCCTATTTCCAATGAATATCATCCAAAATTAATAAATATTGATCCTAACTATTTAAAGGAAAGAAACTCTTTGATATTTTTTAGATTACAGGAAAATTTATTTTGAATATAAGATGTTAAAATTTTTGATCGACAGATGCCATTATATTTATATTATATTAGGTACCATGTTTCCACATTGTCATTTACAATGCTGGAAACTAGTTCTACAACTGTCTTTATATATTTAACATTGAGACTTACAAGTAATTCTAAATTTTTATGTAACTAAATGTTCCTGTGTTTAAATGCCTGTTTGCCAATTTTTGGCTGCTTGTTTTATTTTTCAGGCAATAATAAATAGCACCATCACTCCAAACATGACATTTACTAAAACATCTCAGAAGTTTGGCCAGTGGGCCGATAGCCGGGCAAACACTGTTTATGGATTGGGATTCTCTTCTGAGCATCATCTTTCAAAAGTAAGTTAAAGTATAAGATCTGAGTGAAAATCATCTTCAGTTCAGGTCTTCACTGTATATTAGCAAATGGAGAGTATAAAATATAGGAGAAATTTGTTTAATAGTCTTGGAACAACTGTAGTGACTTTACAGCAAGAAGAGATCATTGACCACAAGAATGGGATCTTAAGTAGAATAAGTTGTACTCCATGTATGTAAAAAATATCAAAATACACTCTACTATCATGTATATCTAAAAAGAACTAATAAAAAATCATTGGATTTTTCTTTCTTTTTTTAAAAAATATTTATTTAGTTATACATGGACACAATGTCTTTATTTTGTTTGTTTATTTTTATGTGGTGCTGAGGATCGCACCCAGCGTCTCACAAGTGCAAAGCAAGCACTCTACCGCTAAGCCCCTGGATTCTTCTTTTACTCGGAAACTTTATTGTACACATTAAAAATAGCTATCATTTGTTAAGAGAATTTGTGTGGTTAATTATCTGTATAATAGGAAATAAAAGATGGGGATTAATATTTCAGAGGCATTTTGCTCAAAGATTTGCATTCTCAGATGGAGATAAGATAAGGTAGGGTAGACACCAGCCTCTTCTGAATGGTGAAAACTGAAGCTGATAGTGATATAGATTTCAGCTTTTTATATGATAACAGGCACATATAAATTTTTGAGTTCAGGAAAAATTGTGCTTTATCTGAGTGTAGAGTACTCTGAACTCTCTGATGCAATACAGAGTGGGATCCAGTGGTCACATGAGGACTTGGGTAATACTAACCAAGTGAATTACTTTGGCCAGAACAGCCAATAAAACATGAAACATCACCAGACTAACTACTGGAAATAAAGCAGTTGGCCTTGCTATAAGCAGAAGCCATGCCGTGTTCATACCAGTAGCACCTAGAGTTCTTATGGATGTTACACAGAAAGAATATATAAGGAAAAGGAAACAATCTCAGGATATTAAGATGATCAAGAAGATGAATTTTACTCTGCTTTCCAAATTTTGCACCCACCAGACCTAAAGATTTATGATAAAACTGCTGCGTTTGAAGTATTCTGTTAAAAAGATAACACCATGTTTGAAACATTTTGTGTATGATTTGGTGTAGACAGATTCTGATGACTTGAGAATTAAAATTGTGCAAGTGCAGAGTGACCAGGCTCTTGTAGATGGACACTGTTAATATTTACCTTAAGGGGCTGGGGTTGTGGCTCAGTGGTAGAGCACTTGCATAGCATGTGTGAGGCACTGGGTTCAATTCTTAGCACCRTATATAAATAAATGAATAAAATAAAGGTCCATCAACATTTAAAAAAAATTACCTTAAGCAATTTATTGCAGATATCGTTCATATTTTTTAAAATGAGCTTTTAGAAAAGCTTATACTTTAGTGAATATTATACATAGTTCAATAGTTGAAATAATCTACTTTGTTCTCCTTTAGTTGTAGATATTTCTTAACACTAATGTTTTCAGGTGTATTAATTATAGTTTGAAGCTCAATTTTAAGACTGTTTTAACTTTTGCCTTTGTGATTATTAGTCATTCTCTGTACAATGATTAAAACAAATAAGGGTTTATGGTTTTGTTTCTCTTACACATGCCTTATTCCAGAAATACATTTCTGGAAGTGTAGTACAGGTATGAGTTTTAGATTCAAAGTATCTCAACATAACATGGAGCATTGCCCTTCCATCAACAATCCCCTTGGAAAATCATGTTTATTCTAACACATTTATTGTTACTCAGAACCTTTTTAGAACTTTTCTTTTGGAACTGTCTATTAAAACCTGGAGCTGAAAATAACACACATATTTCACTCCCCTCCCCGCCCAAAAGAATATTCCACTTGTTGAATTTCTTGATTTTATAGTACAAGAACTAAATTGTRGATTGATTTCTCAAGTAAACTTGCACAAGATGATTTTTAGGCTTAAGTAATTCTTTTAAATATTAATTTTTTAGTTGTAGTTGGACACAGTACCTTTAACTATTTATTTATTTTTATGTGGTGCTGAAGCTCAACTGGGCCTCGCATATGCTAGGCAAGCGCTCTACTACTGAGCCACAACCCCACCCACCCCACCCAGGCCTAAGTAATTTTGATGATAAGTTCTTTGTTACATCTTTCGAATTACTGAGCAGCTAGCTAATATAGTAAAGGAATAGTTTATTAAATTCTGTCAATCACTGTCTCTTATTTGGTATTTTTGTCTGAGAATGGCTTTTATTTTTCAAGATTTTTTTTCTCATTAAAGTTAGCTAATACTGGGCTGGGGACTCAAGCGGTAACGAGCTCGCCTGGTATGCAAGGGACGCTGGGTTCGATCCTCAGCACCACATAAAAATAAAAAAAATAAAGATGTGTTCACCAAAAATTGAAAAATAAATATTTAAAAATTCTCCTCTCCTCCCCTCCCCTCCCTCCCTCCCTCCCTCCCTCTCTCTCTCTCTCTCTCTCTCTCTCTTAAAAAAAAAGTTAGCTAATACTTTTAACCAATTATTACTAGTGTGAACCCTGTTATTTTAAGGTAGATTGAATATTGAGAAACATCCCTTAAGCTTCTGGAGGCAAGTCTGATTCATTTATGCACTGGATTTGTAGCTCAAAGAGTGTTAAGATCATCATCTTGTGAATGTGTTGATCTACAGATTCAGACAAAAATTATGATTTATTTTCCAAGCTACCTTGAGGATTAATTTCGGTGCTTTTYAAACTGTAGGGAACTCAAAGGAATTTATAATCACTTAGATAAATGAAGCAAGCATATAAATATTCTGGTTTGTTTTATTAAAAAACCATGAGTGAGTCAAAGCATTACAAGGGTTTGGAGATGCTCTGAAGACAATTGTAGATAAGGCCTCTCAAAACAAAGGGAAGCTTCATGATTGGAAGAAATGTATGGTCSCCTAAGGTTGACTGATGTGAGCAGAATTCCAGCTATACTTGGATCATTAGCCGGCTTACTTAAGTTGTATTTGTTGTTATGGCAACTAAAGCCATCATGTTTTTCTTTTGCTGAAAACTAAAGATATAAAAATAAGCCATAGTATTTATGAAGTTGAAAGGATTTTAAACATAAAATATTTTGCAATGTTAAATTAGCAGAAGAGAAACCATGATTATATAAAGAGAATTTAATTTAATTTAAATTGTTTTTCTTTCATTTCCACCAATGTTTAGACTTTAGCTTTGTATTAATTTTTTTTTTTTTCATGTAAGAGGATATTCTGTTTCATTAGAGAAGTATAGTAGCACATATTCAGTTCCTTGGTCTATCTCCCTGGATGTGGAGGTGACAAGGTTAAAATAAGAAGGGAAAGTTGTGATGATGACATAAAATATAGAGATTTTTAAAWATATAGCTAATAGAACTTAGTCTACCTCATTTTAAAGCCTATTTAAGTCCAACAGTTGGAACATCTTGTTTATGTTTAACACTGAGTCACAAAGATTATAGATTTTACAAAAGAATCACTTTTTCCTTTAATGAATTAAATTTTGACTCTCCTCAATCTCTCAGGGCAGATCAGGCCTTTCCTCCCAAAACTTTCCTTCCCAAAACTTTCCTTCCCAAAACGGAACTGAAATCAGGGCTTGCTTGTGTGACCTTGTGAAGAAAGCTATAATTTCATATTTTTATTGGAAACTCTAACAGGTATTTAAAGTTACACAGACAATTTAGGTTTTTAAATTTAGTTGTTTTGTTACTCTCTGATAATAGTAATATATTAGCCTCACTTCACAAACATTTAAAATGGGTAATATTTGTAGGCATGATGTTTTATGGTTTTCTGTAGGTTTCTAAGAATTAGTATTTTATGAACAGAAATTTTTGTCTTGAAATTACCAATCTTAGAAGACCTATGTAGAGTGTATTATCTTTTTCTGGTGGTGTACCTCAGTTGCTTAGAAATATTTGGAAATGAATTTTTATTTGTCAGTTAGTGATAATAGTAAACATTACTATTTATAACATTGAAAATAAAATGACTTAATTAAAAGCATTTTTTAGTACTGTGATTTTTATAAGTAAGTACTTAAGAAATTCAATTTTCTCAGTGATAAACAATGTAATATGCTATTTTTTTAGTTGTAGATGGACGCAACACTCCTATTTTATTCATTAATTTCCATGTGGTATCGAGGATCAAACCCAGTACCCCACACATGTGAGGCAGTTGCTCTACCACTGAGCCACAAACCCAGCCCCTAGTATGCTATTTTTACTAGTTTTAGTACATTATTTTTGAGCAACCAAGGAGGTATATAGATAAGCTAGCTGACACCACATTCTAACTTCATTATATAGTGATGCTTTTGAATGAAAATTTGTCTAAGTATGTTATACACAATGAATGTTTGCTGTAGGGCTTCTTTTTCATATTATAAGCTATAATTGCTTTGAAGGCTACAGTGTTTGTATGTTAATTATTCAGAAAATGAAAGACAGATACAGTAAAATTGGGCACTGTGAGTTTGGCTAATGTATACAGTGTTTATACATTCAGTTTGCAGAAAAGTTTCAGGAATTTAAAGAAGCTGCYCGCCTGGCAAAGGAGAAATCACAAGAGAAGATGGAACTTACCAGTACACCGTCACAGGTAGTATTTCGTTTCTGTTTTTGTTTATGAGCCTTGTTCATTTCAGATGGTGCCCTTTATGCCAGATCAAAATTTGTGGAAATAGCAAAATTAATGCTACCTTTACTCCTTTTGTGACAATTTGTAATATTTGTCTTGTGTGAATCATATGGCCCCCCAGCAATTCTTGCCCTACYTGATTTACTGTTTTACCCAGTCTTTTTCATTAATATTTTGCCTGAAAAATAGACTTACGGATTCAGCAAAAAGGAAGTTAAATAGGATAATCAATAAGTGATTAAGTGGAATAATGGATGATAATAAACAATTGGTCATAGCTTTTGTTTGGTTTGAGGGTAACACACTGCTTAAGAGTATACATTTTTTTTGTTTGTTTGTTTTGGTAGTAGGGATTGAACCCAGGGGCATACAACCATGGAGCTACATCCCTAGCACTGTTTTATATTTTATTTAGAGACACTAAATAAAATTTAAGCAACTCTCACTGAGTTGCTTAGTGCCTTGCTTTTGYTGAGGCTGGCTTTGAACTTGTGATCCTCCTGCACCAGCTTCCCAAGACAATGGGATTACAGGAGTGTGCCACTTCGCCCTCTGAGAGTATGAATATTTGAGTCAGAAGAAGACGTGTGTCCTTTTTCTGTCACTTTATGATCTTGGGAAAGTTGTTTAACCTAGTGTGTTTACACATCTGTAAAATGAGTGTTACATTACTTATTTTACAGAATTGATGTGAAGAAAAATATGGTAATGACAGTGTCAGGTCATGATTAATAATGTGGGCTGTAGGCCATTCATTCTAAGTATGAATCTTGGCTCCAATCATTACTACTTTATGAACTTAGACAAGTTGCTGTTTTTAGGGGTTTTTTTTTTTTTTTGGTCTGTAAAATGTAAATATGAATGACATATCCTTCTTAGAGTTATTGTGAGAATTAAATGGGGATCAGAAAATGCTTAGTATATATTAAATGAATGCTCAAGAAATATGGACAACTGTTCTTGATGATGTGGTTGTAAAGGTGAGGATAATGATATAAAGGAATAAAATAGTATCTGGCACATAACAGTTATCTAGAAAAGACTTTTACCTTAATCGTATAAATCCTGAATCAAAATTTCCTGGAAGACTTGTTAAAATACAAATTGCTGAGTCCCACTCACAATGTTGTTTATTTAGTAGGTCTGATATGGGGCCCAAGTATTTGACTTTTTGATACCTTTTCTCAGAGGATGCATATGCTTTTGGTCTGGGGACCATCTTTGAGAAAAATAGTGCTGTAGGTAACCATTCCACCTCCCTAAAGCCTTGAGATGAAAGGAGTCTGGCACTTAGAGAAGTTAGCCAATTCCCCATTCTTAGACTCTTGAGCTAGGATTATACACTTGACTTAGTATATAGAGAGTTAAAGCTTCGATGAGCCTTGAAAGGGACCATTATAGCAGAGGTTAAAGAGACTGTAAGAAGTCTTGATGAGTTTGAAGAGCAGGTAGAAAGAGAATGGGATAGGAGGACAGGAGCATAAGCTCTCTCACCTGTTGGAACCAAAACCAGTTAATAATCTGTTAATTTAAAAAGTCAGTTAATATGAGAAAGTTAAAAAAAAAGATTCTTACTTTAAAATTTGTACATTTAAATCTAATAATGTAATTTTTATTCAGTATCTTGATGTAAATAGATATGTCAGTTTTTGTCATTTTTTCTGCCAGTTGTTTATTATAATAACACATGCTATTATATATGGCTTCTAAATTCAGTTGCCATAAATTGGTTTGGAACAAATAAAGTTTGCTTTTTGTTAAGCATTTAGTGCAACAGGTGGGTACAAAATTCATAAACAGAGTGGAGATTAACCCTATAGCCCTGACCATCATCGTTTAGTTGGTATGCTGTACAATAGGAAAGGAAGAGCATGGGTTAATCTAGAGAGTCAGATTGATTGATTGATTGATTGATTTTCACAGTGATAGGGATTGAACACAGGTCTTTATGCATACTAGCCAGTGCACAACCACTAAGATACATCCCCAGCTCTGCAATACTTCTGTGGATATTAAAATGGGATTTAAAAAAATCGTGATTCTAGATGGTGACTAAGTATAGGGAATAATTTACAACAGAGGGTTAGGAAATACGTCTTGAGGTCTTGGCCCCATCTTCCTTTATGTGTCTGTTTGCTTTTCTGGTCCTTGGCTCTATCTCTACTGGCAAGGAATCTCAAAAATTGCTAGCTCCTCTTCCAGTTTTTCCTGTCAGAGCCTCTGATTAGGAAAGACTGGGGTTCTCATCTTCATTCAAGTATGAAAAACTGGAGTGGAATGGGTCTTCCATGAATGTTAAATGATAAAGGACCCTGCTAATTGTTTTTGTTTTTGTTTTAAGTGATACTGGGGATTGAATCCCAAGGCCTCATACATGCCAGGCAAGTGCTCTACCACTGAGCTACATCTATAGCCCTCTTTTTTGTTTCTTGAGACAAGGTCTTGCCCAAAGTATGTGCCTTCATGCCCAGCCAACCCTGTCTTACTTAAGTYAAAAAGGAGAAAACTTGAGCAGGAATTTTAATTTCAGGCTTTGTTTGGATTAAAGAGAAGGTGATAGTGGTACTGGGTCTGTCTAGGGAGGAAGGACAATGATGCCCCAGGTCCCCACTACTCCATCTCCCAGAGTTGGTCATCATAACACCCTGAAGACTGGTCCCAGAGTGCTGGACGCATTAGTTTCTTTTTCACATGATTTAGAATATTCTTAGTTTTTTATTTTTTTTCTTTCTTGCCATTTCATAAATTGATAATGAAAAAGAATTCTTAACTCATTTCTTGACTTTTATATCTACACTTGGGCTTTTTAATTTTTTTTTTTAATGATCTGGACATGTCAGTCAGCCTTCTTAATATTCACTCAGATTTTAATTTCCAAAAATACATTTGTCTTTATTTTGACTRTCTTTTTTTTTTCTGATTGTAGATTATTTGTTTTGGTAGGAAGTATGGGGAGAGTTTCCCAGAAACTGTGAGAAGCAAAGTGAGACATGAGTGGTTTTATTTTCTCAAAATAAGATATAAAGATAATAGAGGCCTCATTAGATCTCTTTTTGTTTACATTTACTTTTTTTGCATTTTTCAATTATCAGGGTTGGTTTATATATACATATAGACATGAATACAGACACGTGTGTATGTGTGTGTGTGTGTGTGTGTGTGTGTATCAAACATTTTAATTGATATCATGTAAATATCAGCTGTATTAGCTTAAGAATTTCTTCCGAAAGAGCAGTTATCCTTTTTTTCCACAAATTTTGTACTCTAATAATTATAAACCACAAGTTTTTAATTTTAACTTTTGACTCAAAGATATAAAATGCTGGTTTGTGGACAGAGTATTTTTTAAAAGAATAACGAAAGTTGATTATTCAGAAAATTAACACAAACTTTAGATAGAAAAAGAACTAGATATTTAGAATATGTTAAAATAAAAAACAAATTTCACAGGGCTATTTTCAGCATATACACAATGTCTAGAAGTTTTCACAAAACACTTGGCTATTCATAGACTACTTTTGTATAGTTGGAAATAAAGGGGTTTTTATTTTCCTGTTATGCTTTTATGGAGCCTTTTCTTGTTCCCATGGGCACATATTAACTTTTTTTTTTTTAACTATACTTTGAGTAGACTTTTTGTTTTTCATTTTAGGTATAATTATCTAGGATAACTAAATATCTCTTTAGTTAACAATAGTTAATATTCTAGTTTTCTGAAGAAAAGTCTGCTGCATTGACATGTTGAAATTATTGTAATCTCTATCCCTTTCATCTTCCCCTTCCTTCTCACTTTAATTTGCCTCTGACAGTGGTCATCCTACTTCTGCAGCATCAATATTCATAGCCTTCCCAATTCCCCTGCTTCAATTCCATTCTGTTTATTTTATCCTGTAGAAACAGGAGTATTTACCCCAGAAGGAGGTAAAAATGTTGCTCCTGTCCCTCTCTCTCAATCCTAATCTCCTTTCGTCCTCCTTGTTCTTCTCCATTGCTTCTGGAAAATTCTTAAATCCCTTAATTGCTAATCCTAGGGATGCCCTTTTAGTTTAACAAGGTAATTTGTTTGTATTATCATTTCTGTTAAATAAAATCATGGCCAAYTTAACTGTTTAGTAAGTTAAGACAGCCAACTTAGTTTGCTTTGACCTGTCTGGCAGGGGGCGGGGGGATTGGGGGGCAGACCTGACTTATTAATACCAAAGATGATAATCTCATGTTTTCTACTGGCTGCTTAAGCTTTCTCTGACTAATTAATATGGCCCATGACTGACTAAGGAGTGTAGTCACTTTGTGGATATTGTTCCTATTATTCATCTAAAATGATTTGACTTTGTTGTAAAGCAATTTAATGTTGTCATACTGTAGACTTTATTCTCTCATGGTCTTTTAGTTAATGGAAACAAAAAATAATTTAGGAGAAAGATTTAATAAAGAATAACATTGAAGGTTAAATAGATATTCCATTAATAATTGAAAAATGGATAAATGATAAAGCGAAATTAAGAAACTGTTCTTTTGCTTTGCCTGGTGGTGCTCACCTGAAGTTGAGCACTTGGGAGGCTCAGGACAGGGAGCATCACCCTAGCCACATAGTGAGACCCTGTCTCAAAAAAAAAAAGAAAAAGTTCTTTTTCATCGTTGATAGCTTGTCTAATTTATAGTTTATTTAAATATGAAACAAAAATCACATAGTAATAGTAAGCCAGAAGTCCCATAAAAGAAAAATCTATCACAATTAATATTTTTTGCATGTTTTTAGCTGTTCATGTACATTTTTAAAGTATATGGGTTATCATAACCTAGATTCTGCTTTATATTCTCATTTTTCTGATTATTAGCATTTTCCTATATTGTTAATATCTAATTTTTTTATTTCTTTCAAATTGGCAGATTATGATCATACCTAACCACTCTGTTAGACACTTAAGTTTTCATTTTCTACCTCACTATAGATGAGTATTTCAGTACTGCCCAGGTATCATAAGAGGTTCCCCAAGCTGCTCTTTAACAGCCTGGTGCTAGGGCCTACTTCTGGTTAACAGGTTTATCAAATTATCCTTCATTCTGGTTTCTAATAACAACTTTGAGTAATTGGATGATAGCAGACATAAGAGTGTCAAATTGAGCTTCATAATTTATTTTCCAAAGTGATAAGTTTACTTTGACAGACAAATCTTGATTAAAAGTAAAAAAAAAAAAGAAAAAGACAAGTTATGAGAGAAAATAATTCTGTTATGAATACCAATTTAAAAAGCTGAAATGTATTAATATCTTGCATGATTCATTATAGAGGTATTTCTGGTTGCTTTTCTAAATAGCTTTGTAGGAATTGAAAAACAGGGAAGATAAGAAAATTTTAAATTTATTGCAAATTTCATTCTCCCCTTTGCCTTCCTCCACTTCTATTCTCTTCTTTTCCTCAACCCCTCCTATTGCCTGCTTCTTCCTCCAAAATAAAATCATACCCCCTTGCATTTTTGTGCCATTGTTTTCTGAAGTAATTTTTTGTATCTTTTTTTTTACTTACAATAAACCAAAAGTTTTTCATTTCTTTGAAACYACATTTCTAATTGTTTACATTTCTAAATTGTATTGTATTTCAGTGAGTTTTCTTATGAGTTGCTTTGCTTCAAAAATTCACTTTCAACTTTAAGACTTGAAATTTCAGTGGAAATTTGGTTTATAAAAAGGCTACATCACAGTCAGTTTTAACTTTAATATGATATGTGTACTTGAACAAAAGTATAACTCCTTTTTTTTCCCCCCTCCTTCCTCCATCCCTTTCCTTAAGGAATCAGCAGGCGGGGATCTTCAGTCTCCTTTAACACCCGAAAGTATCAATGGGACAGATGATGAAAGAACACCTGATGTGACACAGAACTCAGAGCCAAGGGCTGAACCAACTCAGAATGCATTGCCATTTTCACATAGGTACAGATTCAATTCACCAATCATGATTAAGTAAAATGTGTAAATATGGAAGTTTATTTGGTTTCAGAACTCTGAAGTTACTTCAGAACTCATAGCCTCTGAGTGAAAAACTCCAGGTCAGACTTCTTTTAATGTATTGTTTATAGTTGCCTGGATGGATCAGAGTAAACATTTCCTTTACCTGTGTAGAAAAAGGAGTATTGGGCTGGGGTTGTAGCTCAGTGGAGGTGCAYTTGCCTAGCATGTGTGAGGCACTAGGTTCGATTCTTAGCACCACATACAAATAAGTAAAATAAAAGTCCATCGACAACTAAAAAATATTTTTAAAAAAGAAAAAGAAAAAGGAGTATTAAGCTAGTTACAGAGAAATTGTTTTTCAGTGAAACAAAATACTGTTAATCCCTTCTATTTTTAAAACATAGCCCCTTAAAGGCCCCTTTTGTTAGCCTGGTTTCTTTTAAATTGTATTTTTTTTTAAATAGATTTTCCATTCTGAAATTAGGCTTTACCTTAGTCTTAGAGGTAATATCATCACATGATTTCAAAGGAAGAAAGAGAAGAAACTTCTAGCATAGTAGATTTATGTTTGGACACCAATAGGAGATAATACTTCATTTGCTTTTCTGRATTTTAAAACAATTTGGTACTCTAAAAAGACAGTTTGTCCTAAATGTGTTCCAAACCAGTTACATTGATTATTGGTCATCCTGTGGTATTTTTAGAATATAAGRAAATCTATGACATTGTAGCATTGCAGATATAAAACAAATATCTATCAGTAATCTGTCTTAAAGTTAATTTATATCTTTCCTTGAATGCTTTTCACTCAGTTTTGGTTAAAATTAAGGAAACAGTCTTCTTTTATTGCATATGTTTTTGGGGGTTCCATTATTTTAAAAATCTCATTCTTTGGCATATAAAGAATTGTGAAGTGAGGTATTTCAAACTCATTTATAAGAATCTTAATTTTGATTGAAATTTGTTAAATATTAGGGACATAGGATTGAGTATAATAGAGTATAACATTAAGAGACCTCATGGTCAGAGTGAAAAAGAATAAAAAATGAGATAGTTTTTTTAGGAATGAGTAGAGAGGAGAACTATTTGTGAAGCTGTTCCCATTTGTTGCTCAAAATACTAATAATTTTATATTAAACATGTATTCTGGAGATAATGGATTTTTTGCTTTATCTGCTATAGTATAAACATTTTTATAACTATAAAGATGATTACACATGGGAAAATTTTTAGTTCCTCTAATCTGAAGACTTTATGATTTGTTAAATATATAGTCTTTAAACAAAACTACAATGTTTTACATTTCCTTCTTTTAATAAAAATATATTTAACATATCCATATAATAGACTTAACTGCTCTAAAATAATTGTACTTGATTTCTTTAAATTGAGACATCTGCATTGAATACTGTGACAATTAGAAATRAAAACTTTAAACATTTGTAAAAGCTATTTCTAACTTATATACCTAAAATTTTCTAAGTTTTCTAAACTTTGTTAGTTCTTGTACTTGGCATTACTTATGAGGAATTAGACTTTATCTAACTGACTGTGTTCTTGGGAGTCACTTTGATTTGAGGATACAGCTTGTTTAGTTCGGGAATTTATAAATTAGCCAGGGAGATACTTGACAGACCTCTGATTGTGTTAAAGGCATTATAATCTTAAAAGTTTTTCTTATTAAGAATACTTGACTATAGGATTTTTAGAAGATTGATTCTCTGAACTTGTTTTAATTTTATATTAATAAATATTCAGCCAGTTACTTGACTGAAAACAGATTGCCACCTGAGGTAGATCATATTACAGCAAACGTTAGAATCCTAGCCTGTTAGAGATAAAAGGAAGAGACCTTGAAGATGATGTAATTCAGGATTTTCCAAACTGTGGTAGTTTGAAATCAATTTAATGCATTATTTATRGGGTCCTGAAAATGAAACCAAGTAGAAAATAGGAGAGTAATAGTAACATTAAGAGTGAAAATTAGGGGACTGGGGTTGTGGCTCAGTGGTAGAGCGCTTGCCTARCATGTGCGAGGCTCTGGGTTCGATCCTCAGCACCACATAAATATAAATAAAATAAAGGTATTGTGTCCAAGTAAAACTAAAAAATAATTTAAAAAGGTAAAAATTGGGTCAGTGGTCCATGACTCATGGCTGCAATCCTATCTACTGGGGAGACTGAGACAGTAGGATAGCAAATTTGAGACCAAGCTCTAACTTAACGAGACCCTATTTCAAAATTCGGGGAAAAAATAAAAGTGGCCTGGGAATATAGCACAGTGATAGAGCACTTGCCTATCATGCATAAGGCCCTGGGTTCAATCCCCACCACAAGAAAAAGAAAAAAATAATAGAAACTATTTTACTAATCTGCATATCTACATATATACATGTGTGTGTGATTACAGTGTAAAATGTTCAAGTTCAAAAGTATGTGATTTTGGCTTGTGAGAAAATTAAATCTCAGCATTTAGGTGAGTGTCCTAGATAACATAGTTTATTAGTAAAACCTGACAGTTGACAGCTCAGCTCTTTTGACCCTAATATGTGCTGTCAGTCAGTGAATAGTATATTTAAGTCAAATACCCAGCAAAGAAATAAGTGTTTCATGAATTAGAGACAAAAAATATTAGAAAAAAATTTTATTCAAATCCGAAACTCCCAAGTATTTAAATTGGATATTCTTTTTTTTATCTTCCCATGGCAAAAGAAGACAATTAAAATCTTATGTTTTTAAGGCTTACATTATTTTTCATTCCTTCCTCAGTACTTGTTTGAAAAAATAATATCAAAAACAGTTTTGCCAATATTTTTTTCTCCTGGTTGATATTATTTTGCTGCAGTATAAAGAGCAAAACAACTAGGATAGCTATATATTTTTWAAAAAACAAAACATGGAAACAGYGATGTAGCCTGTCAATTTGACTGATGACTGCAATAGTAGGTACTTGTGCTCTTCTTAAAATTCAAATTTTATTCCTAAATGTCATTAATTCATTAATTAATATACTAAAAGAAGACCTTGATTTTCATTTAGCCCTGAAATTTTGGGTGATGTGATTAATGTGGTTATTTTTGTTCTTTACTCTTTGTAGGCTTTGTTATTGCRTAGCTGCAGAGAGATAAGCAGGATTTTTTACTTTTAATTTTAATTATAACTTTTTATTACAAAAATTTTAACCATATGAGACAGAATAGTGAACTCCCGTGAACATATCACCCAAATTTAACTGGCATGAAAATACGACCAGTCTCATTTCATCTCATCCACCATCTATTCGTCTACCACTGTATCATTCTAAAAGTAATTTCCAGACATTTAATTTCATCCACATAGTTCTTAAAATTAGTTTTTAACTTTTAAACATTTATGTACTGAGCTATTACAACTTTTTGTGTTTATCTCATTCAGTGGCATTATAGGTCACCTCGAATCATGTATTACTTTCTCTGTGTGTGTGTGTGTATGTGTGTGTGTGTCTGTGTCTGTCTGTCTGTCTGTCTGTCTGTCTTCTGGGGATTGAACCCAGGGCCTCATGCATGCTAGGCAGGCACTCTACCATTGAGAGATATTTCCAGCCCCACTTTCTTGATTTTTAATTATACTGCTGCTTAACTAAATTTTATATGTTATGAGCTGCTCAATACTTCTTAGTCAAGTGCTATAGTATTGTTTTATGTTAGTGTCATAACTATGCAAAAATACCTTCATCAAATAAGATTCAGTGAATTCTTTCTTTTTTTTTGAATTATTTCTTTTTGAGTGTACTTCTCTAAATGTTTTTAAAAGTTTAAAAATATGTAAAATAGATAAAYCACAAGGTCAAAACATTTACTAATTTCTTTAGGGAAATGATATTTTCATCTAAATTGTTTCTTTCTTTAAAAATTACTTTTAACTTAAATGATAAAGTCCTTTTGAGATTGATAAATATATATTGACCCACTGAAGTCTCCAGACCATCCTTTGAAATAATAGTCTTAGATTAGCTATAAAGTAGGTATATCCTGATAGATAGCATATGTGTATGCAGGAAAGCTTTGCTCTCTTGCTCCAGGGATTTTTTGGTTGCTTCATAGTGTCCACTGAGTGGAACTCTAGAATTTACTTGTATTTTTCTTACAAATAATAAATAATAGATATTTTTTAAAGATTTAAAGCTACCTAAACTTCTCTTTGATGTAGTTAATTTTATAGTATTCCAGTGCTGTTGAAATCTAACACTGAAATGTAATACTGAAAACTTATTTTGCTCATTACAGTTTTATGATCCTTAGATATTCAGTACTATATTGATAAATAACTGCTRTCATATTTTTGAGAGTTCACGACAGACATATAAGTTGGTGAAGTTATTTTCATACTGATAAAATTTGATAACACTTTGATAATTGTAATGAAAAATAGGCTCTTTTATGCACTAATTGTATTTAGATTCTTCTGATGTTTAGATGATGTGTTCTCATGGTGCTGTTAGACTTTATGCATTTTGGAGGTACTGCATGTGTCTTCTATTCTGTTAGAGATTTTTCTGCCACTCTATGTAGTTGTGTTTCCAGCAGATACTCATTAAAGGATGTATGCAGAAATATTACTTTCTAGTATATTGACTTTAAATCAGTGTAACTATAATTTTACATAAGGTTATGACATCTGGGTGGGTTTGCTCTATTTGTGTTTATTATTAAAGTTTCAGATAGTCACTACTTTAAAACTGATTTAGGGATGTTTCTGTCATTTCAAAAACTAAACTTCACTGGGAATTTTACATACCAGTTTAAGTAAGACATAAAACAAACTCACCAAAATAAATATAAAATATTTGTACTTAACAAAATAAAGCCAGGTGTGGTAGCTCATGCCTGTAATCCCAGCAGCTTTGGAGACTATCAGGAGGATCACGAGTTGAAAGTCAGTTTCACCCAAAGCGAGGTGTTAGGCAACTCAGTGAGACCCTGTCCCAAAATAAAATAAAAAAT